GTCTAAACTTCCTGCCTTATACATATTTAACCTTCATTTGGATAATCGTAACTTTTTATACTTTTTCTCTCTATCCCCTAATGTCTAAAAATTTGGATAATATATTTATTTTCTCCATATGCCACTTTTCGCTGGGATTCATGTTATGTTTTAGTATTATTGATGTTACTTTGTCCACTCCTTTTATGAAATTTGATATAAGGCGGTCCCAACTATGATATATATAAAATCTGACATCTGTATTATATTAAAGTTCGATTTATCGCTATCATAATGAAAGATTTCAAATAATGTATAGGGTCATTTTTGAGTTATACACCGTTGTCAAGCGAAATCTATGGTCAAAAATCCCTATTGTGCTTATTCCAAGAGGAAAATAGTAATCATTTGCGGTATTTACTCAACATATTCTTATTGAGCCCTCATTAGACGAAGTGGTAGGGACAGAAAAAAATTTCCCTATAGGCGATAAAATAAATTATGATATATTGTGACACAAGATGTAACATATTAGCAGGTGTGCTGCACTCTTGCCTAGTGTATGATTGTCTGAGAAAGGGTAGTGCAAGCGCACGCCTTTTTTATGACCAGTAGCATGCCGGTGTGCTTGGGTTTTCTCACAGGTTGCGCGAGTGTAACGAAACTCTGATTAATCGGAGCTACGCAAGCTTTGCTGGATTTTACGGATTTTTGGAACACAAAAGGTTTCTAACTCTTACAGAATATTTCTAGCCTCTGAACCACATTGTAACTCCGACGTCCAGCTAACTTATTACATTGTATAGATTTCAAATCAACTCAACGAGTAGAATTTGGGCTGATCACACTTCTCCTTGCAAAACTTTTCTGTCGAGCAGATACTGGGTGGAGCCCAATCTGAACCAGGCTATTTATTCTCTTCCTTGGCTTGGCCATTCTTGTACTCAAATTTCTGACTCTATTTTTGCTCGGCTCATTGATTATTTCTTCTCAAGCTTTCTATCTCGCCATCTGAGAAGTGCAAAAAAATCAAGATGATTCAATCTGGGTACTCTTCCATTAGGGATGGTAATTAGATCTCGGCTATTCATTAAGAGTAATCTAGGATTAAGATCACCATAAACTTGTGGCGGATCGAAATCAAGTGCATTTGATATATTCAAGGAGACTGATATCATCATAAAAATAGTAATTTGATATATCTTATCTTCATGAAACCAACTTACTGGACTAAGTAGAAAAACTAGGTTTCGAGAAATCCCTTATAATATTGCTTTTGTAATACCTTTTATTTCGTTTAAAGAAGCAAGTGGAATGGATTCGTGAGTTGGTCTCACCGGAAGCTGTATGGAAATTGCCTTGAAGCAGTAGATTTGTGCGAATCGGTCCTCAACGCACCACCCTGCGACTCCGATAATTCCTTGCTTAGCTTTCGTCCGTCATGTGGCGGATATCCTCAGAGCAGGACATCCTGCTTTACGATAACTCAGCAAAACACGAAGACTAGAAAGGTGACCGCTTTCAAACCTACCTTTTTCTTATAGCCCAATTTGGTCTGCACCTTTCATCTGCAGCCACTTCACATATCCGCAGCCAGTTACCTTAAGTTTTCAGCAAACATTTGAGCAAAGCATAGGATATCCAATCAAATCATGAGATACCTCATTAAGTGAACCAAATCGGACTATGAGATGTAGGTAGGTTTCAAGCTGGCTACTTTTCTTGTCTTCGTGTTTTGGTAAATTAACGTTGAGAGTGGTGTCCTGTTCTGACGCTGCTCGTCACATGACGGACGAAAGCTCAGCAGAGATGTATTGGGGTCACAGGGTAGTGCGCCTCGCAGAACCTAGGCTGCTTATACCGTAGCTACCAAGAGATTTTACGTAATTCTTTATTATTAAATGCCTAACTTAATCAGGCATATGAACGATAATCTGTATAAACTTAATTAAGCCATTTGTCTAAAAGATCCTTGCTAAAAATAATGAAAATATCATTCCTATGAAGAGCAAATGGATGTGATCTGTATGATCTTAGTCTTCTCTTTCCGCATGCACTAGGTTTGATCCCGTTTGTACCACTTAGTCATATTTTCAGAGATATTTAAATGAACTTACTTCTTATTGTATCCTCTATTATTGCTGTCATGTATTCTCGCATCTACTTATTCCCAGTCGTTTCATTAGTATTCCGGCTGGCATCGAAATTGCGTGGCGCCAGTCTTAGCATTGATCCATAACATCTCAGAGCAGAACTAGGATTCTGTCATGGTACCTACCTTATCTAATTTCCACTTATGGTCAATTTGCCTTCCTTTTAACCTCGTTTGTTTCCGCATATTCCAGTTTTGCTTCCATTTGAGTAGGTCTGAGGAAGTGTTGATAATTTTAACACTACTTTACCATCTCATCGACAGAATTTTCCTATTCTATTTAGAACTTCATTATATCTTAGCTTTATCCCATCTTTGGTCTTTCCATTTACTAGTTGGCCTATTTTTTACAGGTCCAGCTACTGTTCGAATGGTCTCAAACTCCGGACCACCCCTGCCAATGCCAATGCGAGTACCGGTTGGCCACCTTGTTCAACAAATTATCGATGACGAGGGTATTCTGACGCACGTAATCCTATCACCTTTCCCTCCAGTCCAATCGTCACCCTGTCCTCCCAGCTCTACCTCTTCAGCCACAACTGTCGCCAACTCTATTTCAACCTCCTCTACCTCGGCTCCGGCTGTCCCTCTTTCCACTGGAGCTGATACCAATTCAGCTGATCTTTCTTTGGCCCAGTCCTACAAGCAGCAACAGATTAATGAATCTTCGCACTATTACCAAGCTTTGCCACAAGTGCATCAGCCTCACTCTGTCTATCCAGCTGTTTCTTCATCTACTCAACCTCCGTCAACTTCTACGCAGCCGACGTCAGCTCGGCAGCACCATCCACCCGTTTTAAGCATGCACCATCAGCACCATTCGGCTCAGACTCAACAACAGCAGCAACTTCTGCTGTTAAAGCAACAATCACAACAGCCACATCTAACTCACACTTATTCTCCATCGTACTCACACACTCAGCCTCTCAGTCAAAATGCTCACTCCCATGCCAATTCTCACTCCCATCTTCACCATTCGCATTATTTGCGCCCCCCTAGTCATCCTCACATTATTTCACACTCTCGACCCAGTGCTCCTGCGCGCTTGCATTCAAGTCGTGGCCCTTGTCATGTGGACGGGGTATCGGCTCCCAGTGGCCGAGTCTCAAATGCGCAACAACCGGCTCCAGCTAGAGGCCAAACTTCGAGTCCATCTCCCCCGGCGCCGCGTTCTGTTCAGTCCTCTTGTCAATCCATGGCTGGGCCAAGGGCTCTGCTTAGGCGACCGGTTGGATCTAATGTTCCAATAGTCCAAGAAAAGTCCATCCCCGTTCACGGAAAGCGCACAGAACCACCAATGTTTGATCAAGAAGAAAGAGGTAAGGCATTCTAAATATAAATTTCCTCTAAAGATTCTCTGATTTATGCTTGTTTACATCCACCTGTTTAGCACTGTTTTACAACAACATCGCCTGTGATTTGAGAGGTTATGAATTCTACTTCTCCTATCTGTATGAAAAAAATGGCGAACTAGTTTTATTATCTTGTGTCTGCTTTCTAGTTAGGTTTAAATGACTCAAATGAATATTATACGAAAGCTTCTAGCGAATTGGATTATCTTTAGATGCTTTCTCTATAGCTCTAATTGGAAATCAGGAATACGAGGTGTATTCACCCCATTTCCTCTAAAGTAATAAGGGGACTGGTAGTTACATTTTCCCACACCGATATAAGTGTACCTAATATTTCCATTGAATTTCACTTGGCCTTGCTTTTCCAAAAGCTATTCTCATCCAGGATGGACTACAGGTTAAAATTCGCCTAGGTTTCAGCACCACCCCCAGCGGGACTCGAACCATGACAGTGCAACTGATGATGCCTAGGCGAGGTCGAAACTGCAGTCAACCCTGGATGATAATAGTTTTTCGGAAAACAAATTTAAATGAAATTCAATGGGAGCGTAAAGTCTATTCATATCACTGTGGGATAATTCAAGTATAAGTCTCCTTATCACCTTAGACGAAATAGAGTGAATACATAAAATATATATGATCAACTGGTAGTCTCGAAAGTCTACTTATTTAACGAGAAATCCCAATTTGGGATTCGGGAATTTCCATAAAAAGCCCCACACTATCACTAAAAAAATTTTACTTCCTATAGATTGGATGATTTAGCTATGGATAATCTATCTTCTCTCATATCCTTCTAGAGTTCGTTTAGGTTCACAAATATTTGTCGATTTTATATAATAATTTCTGAATACATTTGACATTACATGTATGATTGCTCTGATATTTGGATTTTCTGTATCTGATAATGGTGGTAGGATCGGTTGATTTGACTTCACCGTCTTTATCGCTGATTATATTATGCTATAACCATACTTGTCTACTCCTTCGCAATGAGTCACTTTGTTTAGGGATAAGCGAACACTGCCAATCCCTGACATCCAAAAGCTATAACGAGCATAATAATTCAGTATAGTAACCAGCGCATACCTGCTTTGAACGAGTTAAGATGTTTTTTTATATCATATACCTTTGAAAAATAGCCAATTTTGAAGAAAAGATATACTTTGCGAACAATGATTTAGTCCTTTTTGTAAAAAATGCGTTTATCTTTTGGGGAGACTTGCAACTCTGCACATTATTATTTTCAATTCCTGACCTGACCAAGATTTCTAGTTAGAATGAAATTTATTTGTCCCTTATCATACAGCTTGGCTCCGGAACCATTCAGTTATTGGGCATCTTTAAATTCGTTATGTCGTTCTACAGAAACTTGTTGGTAGGGTTCAAGTTGGTTTGGCGATTTCTACCCACTTGCAAAGCATGCTAACTGTCGCAGTACTCTGGCAAAAAAGTTATTTAAGTAACAAAAGACAATAAGAGGTTGTATGACCTTGTTTTCGCAACATGT